TAAAACATTAACTCTAATACCAAATTGATATGAAATCAAGTCTCCAAATCCTATTTCATATCACTGCAACCATACACATAACAATCTATCTCTAAAAAACACAAGCTTCAACGCACACTCATTTGGCCAAGACAAATTCAAGCACTCCCAATATCTTTTAACACCTTAAATCATAAATCTTAAGATACTAATAATCCCCAAAGATCAACCATCCAAGACAACTCACAAATTGGGGCAAGGATTACACACACACAAGCCAAACCAAGAATGGGAAAATGGGAACCAAAATGCAAGCACTTACTAGGATAAACGGCCAAGGAGCATTCAAGCTTAAAGGAAACTCCACCGGCTTGAATTTAATCCACCACCAAGCTTAGGTCGAAACTTGGATAAAGGAAATGCAAGAAGATTCAATCTCCATTGAAATACTATTCATCATATTCATTCACTAGCCATTACAAAAATGAGAGAGTTGCCTTTATATAGGCATTACAAATATGGGGAATTCCCCTTTACAAGTATTACAAAATAATAAAAATTATTACACAAAAAAATTAAGAGCTTAATTCTCCGCCATTCATTCAAATACAATAGGCCATAACCATTTAATGCTAAAGGACAACAACTTCTTTAAATTAAGGATCTATGTCCCTATCTCAAATTAGCTTGGCTAACCTTCATCTATTTGAATCAAATAACATCTATTCATTGGGCTAGGGCCAAATAAACCTCTCCACACTTGATACCCATGGTTTGAACCAATAAAAAGGCTTTGAGAAATGTCCTGGACCTTTAGCACTCCATGGACAAGCTTGTGAACTTTCTTGAGTGATTGGGATGAATGGTGTACACCTTGCCAAACTCGGGCTTCTTGATTTTTCAATGGAAATTCTTACACAACCAAGGAATCATTTTGGCCTAGAATCTCATCACATTCTTCGTCTGAGTGATTATGCGAATTTGGTCTTGCCAAATGGGCAATTTGGACTAAGGTTTAAGAGGTGTAAAGCCAAGGATGGATCGATTATTGGTTTTGGGCACTCGAGCTTACGTGGATCAATATGTTTATGTGACAAAAAAAAAACAGGTTTGCTTTAGTGGTGGCCTTGAACAAACTGTCATATGGTGGTACAACTTCAAGAATCAATGAGTTTGTTTGTTTAGAGATAAATATCCCATTGTTGGTGGAGTTTCCCCCCATTCGGGATTTGGAGAGGCCTCTCCTTGACTGAAATTGATAAGCAAATTAATTTGAAGGTCCACGTTTTAATATTTCTTAGAAGTTAGAAAACAAAATTGAAGAGATGTGATGAAATCTTGAGTGTTAGAGGAGTTGGAGATTCAAAATAATATGTATACTTCAATTATAATATTTGTATATTTAAAAAATTACAGAAATATAATTTTTCTTTTTCGGGTTGTCCCGATATATTAATATTCAGAAATATTATACATACAAACTATTTTCTATAAACTGATGTAACAACTCTACATGTTTAACAAGTAATCTAGCATAATTTGTTTAATTTGAAGTCATTCAATCATCCTAAAACATATCAACTTGTTTCAAAGAGTTTATATAAATAATTTATACTTAACACAACATATTATCACTAAATGATTAGTTCTGAATCTCTCCCCCTAAAAAAAAAAAAAAAAAAAAAAAAAAAATGTATGAAAGATGGCAAAAAACCATTCATAGTGAAAGGTATGAAAGATGGCAAAGAAACCATTCATAGTGCCTTTTCATATTCAATATAATTACTTTATGAAATGTTTAATAATTCATCTTCTATGAAACCAATGTTTGATTTGGATATAATTTATTTATACAAAGGGATATGAGATACTCATTTTTAGCGAAGCAAGGGCTTTTTAAAGTCCTTAATATATGAAAACTCAACTGACAAAGGGATATTTAGCTTTGAACAAACAAAACCAATGATTTTTGCAGTTGTAGCACCATATGACAATTTTGTTCAATGACACTGCTATAGCAAACCAATTTTTTATGTCGTAGAAACCCGATGATCCACCTATGCCCGAGTGCCCATAACTAATAAGCGATCCATCTTTAGCTTTGTACCTCATAAATCCTAGTACAAATGCTCCATTTGGAAAATCCATATTCTTATAATCACCCACACCCAAGAATGCATCATGGATTCTAGGGTTACTAAAAATCTTGCCACCATTATTTATGGGCCTAGTGTTAGCATCACCACTAGCATCTTTACCCTTATTATTTGTATTGTTCTTTGCAGCAGCAGGTACCTCCTTGCTTTTCTCACCTTTTGGCTTTTTCGATTTCTCGTGTGATGAAAATGTAGGGATGTGAGTGTGACTACCAAGTGGTGGCTTAGATAAAGAGGAATGTGGGGGTGGGATAACTCCCCCATCAACTAGGGCTGCATAGTAGTGTGCAATTGCACGGGTTGAGCAATGTCCATTAGTAGCAGGTAAGATGGCATGACGAATGTTCAGCATGTTAAAAAAAAACCGACAAAGTGGTGATGAGCTCTACATTTTGGTCTAGGCAATAAGTAGAGGGTAAATCAAGATGGTAACCTCTGTCTGCGTACTTGCTGAGATCATATTCATCTATTGTAAGAGTTGCAAGTCGAGATTCCACACATGGAGGGAAGCCATTGAAAGGCATGATGATGCCATTGATGACACCTAACTCGGTTTTATAGTTTAGTTATAGTAGACTACATAATTTATGTTCCTCTTTTGAATAGAACATTATTGTGTGCATATATTCATGTAAACCTATGTTGATACAAAAATTTGCACCAACTAGAGTGATCCGATCGACCTTGGCGGGATCGAAACTGGTGTGTGCGTGATTACAGATAATCAGCGATGAGCAAGTGATGAATGTCAAAAGTAAATGACAATGAGATTTTTAAAGTGGTTCGACGAGATAAACTCTTGAGCATACGTCCACTATTTTTGTATTTGTTGTGAGAGCTTACAGTCTAAGTTCCATCAGAATTTTCTAACCCCTTTTTCATCATTTGAAGGGGTTTATATATAATGCTCGTACAAAGGAAAGAGCGAAAATAAAGGGATTACAATTGATTTGAAATGCAACTTTGATATTCTTACGATTAGGCACTGTGATTGCGCAAAGATTGCTATCAATCTGATCATTCTTGAGATATTTGGGATATGAAGTTATCTGGGAATTGGTTGAATGATCATTTAGATTGTTCGCGACTAGCTTGTGCTGGGTCGAGCTATATCTCAAGGAGCTTATGTTGGATTAGACAATCAGTAGAGTCAGACTAATTCTGTGTCAAGTTACATCCTTGCGGTAGCCTGAGCTTGGTAGAAAAATCACACACAATATTTGCCCCCTAGTGTTCAATGCTCGTTTCGGGCTTTGAAGACTACTGCTCGATTTGATATCAAGCTCAACACTATTAGCAGGTTGCTGAATGCAAGTTTAGTCGAGCTCTAAGGGTCGACCTCATGCTCGGTCGATGTATTTCACACTTGGATTTTTATCTTCTGTGATACCTGACAAACTCAAAATACAAAAAAGTTAGGGCAGTTATGTAAATTCCACGTAGTCATGTCGCATTAAATGCGGCAGCCTTTGGCAGTCATGTTTCGTTGCGCGTGGGCAACTATAGCTGTCCACGTGTAGAGTGGAGATGATGTGTGGCAACATTTATGATTATAGCAGTCTGACAGTTCGTTGCCCCTCGCGGATGGATGACACGTGGCCACATCCGAGGGCTGAGATTGCTTGATGAATGAAGGGTTGAGATTCACTTTAGATCGACGGTCACAATTGAACTGCACCCTTTCGTCTCCCATGCAAGCCACTATACAAACTAGAGAAGTTGTCAAAAACTCATCCAACCTACGAAAATCTTCGGACGTCTTTGTTCACTTTGTTGCTGTTTCGTTATAGTCACGGTGCTCTTTCCGGTGAGTTCTTGCACTCTTGTTCTGGTAAGGCTTATTTTCCTTCTCTTTATCAGTTTTTCTGATTTCCGCATCCAAGGGTGGCATTTGATGCGTGCAAATGCAACACTTCATTTTACCTCACTAAATTCTAATGCAAAGTCATGTAGTAGGAAAGAGCAAGTAAGGGTCTTTCTCGCAAAGGATTGTGAACTTAACTAATTATCTACTTCTAACAGAGGTTTGCCACAAATTAAAAAAAAAAAAAAACCAAGAAACAAACTAAATTCAACAACTTAAATCAAGCAAATACTCACGAAAGAGAAATATATAAGAGAAATAAAATTGAAGGTTTATTCGCCACCACTAGACATGAATTGCATAAAATAAAAGCACTCTTTAACTTTCTACCCTCTTGATCACATCAACTCAGAAAATATCAAACGTTGATAAGTTCCATCTCTCCTTTCTGAGTCGCTAGACACAATCATAGCCCAATTCCCTATTTATTAAATAACCTAGGATACGATCTCTAGATTCAAAGTAATAAAAGCATTAAGAAGTGAGAGACCTACTGAATCAAGGCTAAACTCATATGATTGGTTTAGTTATCTTGAGTGATTATCCCCAATGCATGGAAGCATACACTTTACCACTAGTTATTTACGTTAATAAAGCGATTCTGTTCTAAACAACCTAAATTGGCAATAATAGATTAACCCTAACTATTTAATAGGCCACTTAAACAATTAAGAAAATCTATTTAAACCCTATTCTTAGAGAATAAATCACATAATCAAGAGGGATCAAAAGATAAAAAGATGTAGATTTTATTAATAACAAGACATATCTAGGGTTTTGAAATTACCCTCAATCACAAAAGAGTTAGTTACCCATGAATAAAAATAAAAACATTATTGCATTCATGATAACAAATAATACAAAGATAAAAGAAAAACTTAGGAAAGCTTGAGTAGATTAATGGAGTTGATGATGATCTTCTCTAATCTTCTCTCCAAGCCTCTTTCAATCTCTCTTAATCTCTATATTATTGAGTATTTTTTTTTTGTTCTCTATCCTCTCTCTTCTTTAAAAAATACCTAAAGACATCCTTTTATAGTGCTAGGGTTGTGGGAAAAATAAGGAGAACAAAATCCGGATTAAGTTTTACAAGACTTCTTGTTTATCTAAAATTCCCGTTCTATGCCGTGGCGCCAATTTTTTATGCCTTGGCACCAAACTCGTTCATCATGCCTTCCTCAGCATGAATTTTTCATGCCTCGGCACACTTTTTACAGAAATCCTCCCTTCAAACCCGAGAGTAGATATCGCAACGCCAAAAATTTTCTGTCATGGCACCGAAATATCTTCATTTTTTAGTACAAAAACGTCATAATCTGAAGAAGTCATAACACAAAAGTTGTATCCCTGTGAGTTAGCTTTACAATGGTTCAAGAATAAGCCCAATCAGATATACATAGCTCAAGTTCTTATCGAAATACCGAAGCATACTCAAAACTGGTGCATTTTCCAGATTTTGCATGTGATGGTAAATCCACGTTAACTTCCTTGTCTCAACTCCGATTTTTGAACCATTTGTTTCTAGTCATCAAAAATCCTCTCGCCAACATCATATCCCATCCAAATATTATTTCCCTGTAAACACAACAAAAACACCCGTGATCTTGAAAAGTGTATTTTTGAAACAATTAAGTTAATGTATGCAAATTAACCTTACTTTCCCACAAACAATACCTATAAACCACTAAGTATAAGTGCATTTTCAAACACTTATCATCATTTTTGTGGCCACATTGAGTTTTCTAGGGCTTTAGTAGGGTTTTTTGGTGTGTCTTCGATGGTCTTGGGTTTAAGAAGGGTTTATCGCGGTGGCCGCCGGAAACCTGGGTAGGTCGCACGGGCTTGTCATGTGGTGCGAGCTATCTTGGGTGCCTGAACTGAAAGCAAGTGTGAATAGGTCATTAAGTTTTTTAGGCTTTGACACATGTTCACTTTTGTTTTAGGTACCCAGAAGCGAGCTATAATTATGTCTTCTTCTAGCAGCCACACGATTGATCGCATGTTGGACTCACCTGTGGGCTCGGTAGTCCTTGGGGATATAACCCCTAAGGTCTCTAAGGAAATCACCATGTGAAGCTTGGACCCTGACATGGCAGGCTCCTCCGATTGTGCCTCAGTATAGTTGCCTCAATCCGAGAGGTCTCTAGTTCATAGGCTATGAAAGGAACCACGATCCTTGATTAATGTCGAGGATCTAAAGCGCATAAGAGAGGTTTATGTGCCTTAGCTTAATTTGATGGTTTCGAGGGACTTTTCTTGAAAGAATCCCCCACCTAGATGGGTGGCGATCTTTGAGACCCTACTGAGATGCAGGGTATCTATTCCGCCTCATTATTTTATTGGCAACGTTTTGAGATGGTTCAACATCGTTCCTCTCCAGTTGTCAGCAAACTTATATGTCATAATCATAGGTCTGTACATAGCGTACATGATCACTAAATTGGGCGAGCCATCCGTCGAGGAGCTCATCGATCTGTACAGGCTCAAAAGAGGGCAAGACCAAACGTACTACATTTCCAAGGTGAGAAATGTACGTTTCAATGGGCTGGTCGATGTCCCGAAGAAGGTCCCACATTGGGACTCCTAATTTTTCTTCTACGAAGCCCGAGAGACTGGCATTTTCATTTTGGAAGCGAGTAAGACTTCAACTTCCCGTACGTGTGAGGATCATTTTTAAACTTTGTGTTCTAGCTAACCGAGTTGTTTTGTTTTGTAGTTAACGTCAAGTAGAACTATCTCCCTGCCGCGAGAGCTTGCAGAGGCTCTAGTGTTTCATCAACCTTCTCGACGGACAACATAACATTAAAGAGATTATCACGCTTCCTCACTTGAGGGCATACGACTTCTGTCAGGACGACACCAAGTTTCTCACCATTCTTGAAAAAGGTTCAAGTTATCATTTGCTCGTGCTTATTTTTTCGCGTAGATAGGTCGCTCACCATTTGCTTCTCTTTTTTGAACAAATGTGGGTCGTAAAGCCAAAAGGCCTTAAGAAGAAGGCACCAGCTTCGGCAGCTGCCAAGAAGACATCGAATGCTTTAACAATGAAGCAGCCCATTGACATTGCTGGCGTGAAATGCAATGGGGGCGAGCTTGGGGAAGGCCCTAGCGCAAAAAAAGCCTATGGCTGCCTTGAAGGCAGTTAGTGAGAAGAGTGCCCTTGAGACCCAAAAGGGGCATGTAAAGAAAACACCCGAGTTGACCAAAGGCTCGGGGAAACATAAGGCACCTGAGCAAAATAAGGGCTTAGGTAAAAAGAAATCGATCGAGCCTCTAGAGGGCTTGGGTAAGCAAAAGTTGGGCAAGCAATAGGTTAGCTTGGGCAAGGAGGTCACTGTGTAGGCTGACAGCCCAAAGAATTAGCGGCCAAGGATTCAACTAAGAAGAGGTCCGCTCCTGCAGGCAAGGTTGGCGCTACTAGGAGGAGTAAGTCCAATGTGTCTTGGCTGGGAGGCAAGAAAATGGATGAAGCAACTCAAGTTATGGTTGATGCGCTGATCAATCAACTCCCCAACCATATCAGTGTTGGGGCTACAGTGGCTAGGGATTGTGTCACCCCACAAACATTCACGGGTAGTTATGGCAATGGGTCGGGCCGGGACTGTGTACCCCTTGGCCCAGGCCCAAGCTCGACCTCATGACACAGGCCCAAGCCCGACCCGAGCCCGCCACGGGTATGATAGGCAAAGACCAGGCCCGACCCAGCAGGCTTTTTATAACCTCAGGCCCGGCCCAAGCCCACCTTTTTTTTATAATGTCAATTTTTAAATATTAATAAATTTCAAATTATTTTTATATTTTAAATTTTAGAAACAGTTTTTAAATATTAATTTATTTTTGAATACTTACAAATATATAAATAACATTCGACAAAGTGCATTCATCCATTTTTAGAGTATAACATAACCATAAGAGCAACAAGCAAATTGAGACAGTAAAATCTGAACAAATACAAAACATTAAACTCTATCACAAATTTCTAAGTTGTTGTCTCCTTAAGTTTTGCAAGCTCTAGCCGGGTAAGTCCACCTCTTTGCAATTATAAAATACATAAGAAGCATGTAACACATGAAAGACTAAATATCTAACCAATTGCATACCTATTCATTGTCATCATAATTCCTCTTCTCCCTCATTAGTGTCATAAAAAAATGTCGAGCATGATTTTTGACCTAATAAGAATACAAAATATACATTAAAGACAATAAGACAAATACATTAAAGAAATAAAAAAATATATATTAAAGACAATAAGACAAATATGTTAAAGAAATAAAATTTTGATATAATCACCTTTTATATCCGCCCATAACCAATTTTGAGCACACATCAATACTTCTAATGTATCTGAATGAAGTTTGTTGCGATGTGGACTTACTACCTTCCCATCCGTGCTAAATATAGACTCAGAAGCGATTGTGGAGACAGGAATAGCAAGGATGTCTCAAGCAATAGAAGAGAGGATTGGATATTTAGGCCTACTTGCCTTCCACCAAACCAATATGTCAAAGTTAGGAGTCCTAAGCAAAAGTTTCTCCTCTAAATAAAAATCCAGTTCTGACTTTCCTTCAACAACATTTGATTCTTGGGCAATATACATCTCAAAGTCACTAACGGACCCATCGTCCTCACTACAAGGAATATTAGTCTGAAAGAAGGTGCTGCATTAGGAGGAGGTTGACTACTTCCTTGCTTAGATTGGTACTAATTAAATAATCTGATAATAATCCTTGAATTCTCAGAATATGATATTTACCATCAACTCCATAGATCCGAGGAAAAAATAATCTAACGATTTCATTTTGTATCTAGGATCTAAAAGACTCGCTACCCCCCAAGACACCGTGAATCACATCCCAACACTTGCTAAATTTTTCAAACATTTTTGCTGCCATATTCTTTATCAAATAATTCCCACATCTAAGCCAGTTAGACAATGCAATTCTAATTTCACAAACTTTTGGGAAATAAATATTAGATGTCGAATATTTTGTTCTACAGAACAAGTTTGTGGCAACATAAAATATTTTAACTTTGAACAAACTTGTTCTACCAACTCCCATTCCTCCTCAATTGGCAAACATCTATATTGTGGCTCACGAAGCTTTAAACAAAAAAACACATGTTTGTAAATGAAAGCAGTTTCAAGCGTTAAATAAGTTGAGTTCCAACGAGTCTTACAGTCAAAAGCCAACTATTTCGTACTTTCAATGCCTTCTTGATGTGCTGCTTCAACAAAATTTTGCTCTCTTTTAGGAGATGCTGACCAATAAGCAACACTCTCACAGATTCTTGCAATTGCTTGTCCAATCACCGATAATCCATCTTGAACAATTAGATTCAGAATATGCGCACAACAACGTATATGAAACAATAAACCACGTAGCATAAGTGAGGCACTTGGAAGTTCGTTTAAGATATCTTCAACAACTGCATCATTGGTGGAGCAGTTATCAAGCGTCAATGTCTACAACTTTCTATCAATATTGTACTCATAAAAGCAATCCATCAATGCTGTAGCAAGCACATCTCTAGTATGTGGGCAAGACACATATAAAAATCTGCAACATTAATTATACATAAAAAATAATATTAATATAGCTACAAAAATTTTATTAAAAAATAAGAATGATAAAACCTTAAAAGATAATACCTTATGAGTCGACTTTTTAAGACCCAGTTGTTGTCGATAAAGTGCGCTGTGATCGTCATATATCCTTTGTTTTGATTGCTGGCAGTCCACAAATCCGAAGTGATAGCAATCCTACTCCGGTTTTCGTTTAACAATTTCATTGTCTTCTCTTTTTCTACATCATACATCTTGAATATGTCTTTCTTAATAGTGTTTTTACTCACAACCTTAAACAACGGTTGCATGCTGTTACAAAATCTTTTAAACCCGTAATGATCAACCATGCTCAAAGGATATTCATGTAGAACAATCATCATTGCAAGGTCCTTCCTCACCAACTCTTGATCAAGTTGATGCGAAGTTAAGGTCATTTGTGACTTTGAACTTGCATCCTCTCCCGGGGTCATCGACATAATCTTTTGTGATACATCTCCATAGTTTTGCCTTGGACAGATTTTATAATGTGCATGCAAGTGCCTTGTCCCGTTTTTGGAACCACCAGCAAGTTGTTTACGAAAATAGTTACACTCTGTTTTATCCTTGCCATCAACTTTATCTTTCTTGAAATGTTGCCATACAACTCATTTTGTCCTTACAGTATGGCTGCAACTGTCAACATCATTAAGGGGGCCATTTTCTTCATGTGTTTCTTCCTCAGTATCAGCAATTGTGGATTGAATTTGATTACTTCCAATCAGATCCGGAGTCAGAATTTTTTCGATGAGTCAGAAGGTAGATTCATCTCCTCTTCTAAGCTTTATCGTTTACCAAGTAAAGAAGTTTGAATTGACATGTTGAAACCTAAAAAAAAAAAAATGAACAAAAAGTATGAATATCAATAAACAATTCATTTTTGAAAATGAAGCAGATATGCATTACTAAATCATACATTGGATGAAGGATTGAGATACTGTTCAATACAATACATTCCAACAAATACAAGTCCATAAAGGTGCATATTATGAATGGCAATACATGGATTTTAACTTTGTGCTTAAACGGAATCCATATAACATAACATAATCATTTAGTAACTTATCAAATTGCAGCCATAATTTGCTTCCTATCAGAATCTAAATTCTTCCATTTATGTAGCACATAGAGCTTTAGTCTTATTCTATTTTCAAGTAGTTTACTTAATCAATTTAATTAATCATTATTATCAGATCAAAATATTACATTCTACATGCATACTTGCTAAACCAGTAAACCTGCTTCAATTGCCAATTTTGCACTTCACCACAAACACATCATTATCATACAATCATAGCACCAGTTCTGCACTTCACTATAAATTCTGCAGTTGCACTTCATTACAAAATTCTGCGCTTCTTTACTTCACTAAAAAATTCTGCACTTCTTTAAAATACAACACTTTTTCACTTCTTTAAAATTCAGCACTTCTTCACTTCATTAAAACTCTGCACTTCTTTATAATTCTGCACTTCACTAAAATTCAAAACTTCTTCACTTCATTAAAAATCTGCACTAAAAATCTGCACTTCTTTACACTTCATTAAAAATCTGCACTAAAATTCTGCACTTCTTTACTTCAATGAAAATTCTGCACCTCTCACTTTTTACATCAATAAAAAAAATTCTGCACTTCTCACTTTTTACATCAATAAAAAAATTCTGCACTTCTTTATCTCACTAAACCAACTTTATGCACATCTCTTGAATACTTCATTCAATCAACCACTTCAGTAATCAATCAACCACCTTAGTAGCTAAATTCAATAAGCCATTTCAATGGAGCTCAAAAAATTCTACACATCTTTACTTCACTAAACCAACTTTATGCACATCACTTCAATACTTCATTCAATCAACCACCTCAGTAACTAAATTCATTCAACCATTTCAATAGCTACATCCTTCTAAATCAACCAACAACTTATAACCAATCTGCTACTTCATTTAATCAACCACTTCAGTAAATAAATACAATCAACAATTCAATAGCTACATTCTTCTAAATCAACCAACAACTTACAATCAATCTGCAAAAGCAACCACAAACATCAATCAGCTACAATATTAGCACAACCTTCAGCTAACCAATCTTCAACTACAGCATTCAACATCCAACCACAGCTGCTACAAACATCATTTAAATTGCACAAGTCAGCAGCTTCAGCTTTCCTGATTATAGACAAGACTATCACACTTCACTACTACATTCAATTTTTCCTTGAGTTCATTAAATTGAGCAGCAGAAAGTGTTTTCAGTTATGGCTGCTGCTAAATGGCATTTTCAAAAGCAAACCCGAATAATGCAGAAACAAAGATTAGACTCTCTAAATAAAAAAATTCTGCAAGAATCCAAATAAAAAAACACCAAGACAAACAGATAAACAAGAGTACACAAACAATCTTAGCTGGTCTTCAATAACCATCAAGACAAAACTTTATAGGAAACTGTTTTTCTGTGTCTATTGCTGACAAGGAAATCTTTACTTAGGTGGGTATCTGGTGGTGCGTTACTGTACAGAGACCTCCTACATTTTAAAACAGAATCATGTTATCTTCAACCTGGCAATACGAAATTTGAAAAATATGAATTCTTTTTCGCAGAGAAAGGGTGTATGCAAAATTTTTTTTTGAGTCAGTGCACATATTACTGACATACTCTTCCAATAATGATTATTCCTTAGTATCATGCTGGAAGAAAACTGCTTTAAATATTTCTAAAGTTTCTTTTTCGGCAGCCAGAATGTTGTGGTGTTGCTTTTATTTTTTTAAGGAAAGTCCAATTTTCTAAATAAATACCCTGAAATATCAGTTCTCTTTCTCATGCTACTTAAAACTATGTTGCACTGGTGAAGCAGAAGACACTTATCATATGGGGTGAGGATGACCAGATCATTAGCAACAAAGATTAGACTCTCCAAATAATTTTTTTTTGCAAGAATCCAAATAAAAAAACACCAAGAAAAATAGATAAACAAGAGTACACAAACAATCTTACCTGGTCTTTAACAACCACCAAGACGAAACTCAAAAGCTTGACGTCATCACCCAGAAGCTAAAAACCGAAGAAATTGGACGACAAATGAAAAGCACAAAAAAATTGAGGACAGATGCAGATCGACGATTGCAGAATTGCAGATGGAGAGAGAGATACGTTAGGAAGGGCAGCATCGCAGCAAGTGGAGCGAGAGTTTAGGGAATGGGATGAATTGAAAATTGAGGCTAGAGATTGGGAAAAATGTATATATATATATATATATATATACACACACACACATAGGATAATATTGTAATTAAATATATAGTATAAGGGTAAATTCGTAAAATTAATACTAAAATTTTCAGGTCGGGTCGGGACTGAAGATATACCCATACCTAGCCTGTACCCGAGGTCGGGCCTTAAAATAAAGCCCAGGCCCAAGCCTAAGCCCGTCACTCCTGGGTAAAACCCAACCCTTTTGGGCTGGGCCGGGCCGGGTACCCAAAAATGTCAGGCCTATTGCCATCTCGATTCACGAGCATTAGAGACTCGCCTCCCACCTAGATACTGGCCTTGGTGTGCAGTTATGCGACGAAGGTACCAGTAGTTCGCCCCTCATTTTTTTTATTTGCATGCTATCATTACTTCTTGCAAACTTTCCATCCTAATTTTTTTCAGGCTGCCATAGCGAGCAGGCTTCTCATCTGGTATGTAATAACTATAATGTTAATTCTAAATTATTTCACCATTAATTCTAGCAGTATAATAGTTCTTAATAACTTATTTAATGTATCATTAAATTGGTCAAAAATTACATTAACTGCATTAAAATTTAGGTCAATATATCAATATACATATATAATCTTGAGGCATAGGCTATATGATTGCCATTTCGAGGGGCTAGGATTCCTTCATTTTGACACATTGATAATCATATTTTACACTATGATTTTGCATTAAATTTTGATAGGATTTAGGATACTTTTCATACAATTTGGGTCATAATTGCTATCTAATTCTATTAATTTGTCTTTGCAGGCCTAAACAATGATTTTTAGCATAAATAACAGTTTTGAGCGTAAATTGTGTAACTGGAGTTTGGAAACTCAGAATGACTTGAATTTAGAAGCTTTGGAAAGCTAAGAAGAAGAGCTACAACTTTCATGTTTTGGGGTTTTCCTAATTCCGACTGGACAAGAGTGAAAACTTGGCTTGAAGTCGTGAAAAGTACGCTGGGAACTGAAGAAAAAAAGGTCTTTGGATATGCTTCAGTATTTCTGCCATAACTTGAGCTGTAGACCTCAAATTGTACTGATTCTTGAACGACCAAAAAGATAATTTAAAGGGATAAAATTCATATGTTTAACACTTTTCTAGATTCAGACTCTATCAGGCTCAAATTTTGCCTGAAAGTATTCGCTGCGGCGAGGAAAAAGCTTCGCCGCAGCGAAACCTGCATTAGCTGTAAAAATAAAACGACGTGTTTTGGCTTGCTAGGGCTTGGTCCTTATGTGAAATAGGTATAAATTAGAGCGAAAAGGAAAGAAAAAGGGTCTTGGTTCGTCATTTGGGAGGCAGCTCATGGAAGGAGAAGATTGTTGAAGATTTGGGCTTCAAATTAGAGAAGATTTCTCCATCTTTTGCTTGTTTTTCAATGATGAATCTTGATTCAGTTTGTTTTTGTTCTTTTATTTCATTTTTGAGTATGAACTGAGTTGTTTAGCTAGGGTTTGATGTAACCTTGATACAATGATTCAAATTTATATGAATTGATTTACTTGAGTTTTAATTTCATGATTGAGTGTTTATCTCTTTGCTTAATGACTTTTGGATGCTTGATCACCATTCAAATGTGTGTTGTTCATAATGAGACTGAGAAGTGATTTGTGATTGTGCCTCTTGGGATAAATACCGTAGATTAGCAAACGCTAGAGATAGGTTTAGCGATCTATGAAATCTAGATAGAATTCCACAAAGCTTAAAAGACTTTGAACTATTAATCTTCATTTTGTTGGGTGCGGAAGCTTAATAGGGATAAGTAGGGAAATGTAGCCTGAGAAGGTATATTTTACAACTTAGGTAATTCGATTTTCAATCAAGTAATTAGAACTTAGGTAATAGATTCTATGATTTGGGTTAGCGTATCTAGGTGAAATCAACACCCTAGCATTTTTTAGCATTGTTTAATTAGTTAAGTTGTTGGGTTTTGCTTTAATTTCATTATCATTCATTTATATTTTGTTAATTTATATTTAGTTGTTAATTTTCCATCAATCCAATTTATTGTTGCTTCAATTAGGACTTAAACTAGAGAAATCGGTACTTAGTAACACTATCCTCATGGGAATGATACTCACTCATCACTTTATTGCTTTGTGCGACTAGTGCACTTGCTATTTTTGCATGTTGTAGTTACAACGCATCACACGTCTGTAGATTGCCTAACACATGGCTAGATTTGATTGGTGATGATATGACATAAATTGATGAGTTGTATTTTATGGTATATGTGGCTTCATGTAATTGGTGTTTGATATTGTTTGTTATTAATGACAGATATTAATAACCTTATTGATTGTTGTTTGTTTCACATTAACAATAAATATTGTCATTTACATTTACATAACCTTACACACAGAACATTATTGATTGTTGTTTGTTTATAAATTTCTGTGAATGTAAGGGGTCTTATACGTAGTATGTTATTCACAATGCATTTATGTGAATTTAGGGGGTTTGTGAATATGAATGGTTTGATAGGTTTTTATTTTGTTACATTGTATGTGTTATGTGTTGCTCTTTAATATAAACGGTTACAGATATTTATAAGAATGTGAAGAGTTGTATACTTTAATTGGATGTACATAGTATATATATGTAATTATTTGTATAATTTGGTACATTACTACCAGCAAGGAACTTAACAAGAAACAGAGGTATAGCTATTTGTTTTTATATTTTTATATGTCATGTTCTTGCCAATTTATTGTTTATTTTACTTATGTTCTTGCTAGTTACTTTTTCCTGAAATTTCTTGTAGGTATATACAATTTGTGGAAGGAACAAAGCTGCTATTGTTTATATATCTTGGTGAAGGTAAAGTTATTCGATATATGTTTATATGTGATGTTCTTGCCAATTCTAGTTTATTTTTAATATTTTTTTCATTTATAATGATTTATATTATAAGTTATGGTTCGGCAAGCAAACCATGATGAATCGTTAGTATGTTTGTGATTATGTCACAAGAACTCCACACGACAAATCATGTAAAGCATCATGGACAATTAGTGTGTTTACATTGGCATCGCACAAATGAATTATGTTTGTTTATTACTGATATAACAACTACTTTTTCCTCAAATGTGATTTAGGTATATACGATTTTTGGAAGAAACAGAGGTGTTGCTTATATATCCCTGTGAAGGTAATGACTCTTTTTATTTGTTTATTTTCATTAAAAATCTCGTTGACTGAATTATAATTACATATGTAACAAGTTAATGTTTATATGGCAAACCATAGCAATGTTGTCGAACAAAATTTACAAGAGTAATAAGTTAATGTTTATATGGCAAACCATAGCAATGTTGTCGGACAAAATTTACAAGAGCGAACTATAATGATTAATATTATAGTTATGGTTTGGTAGTCGAACCATAATGTATCATTGGTATGTTTGCTTTTATGTCACAGGAACTCGACACAACAAGACTTGTAGTTTTCGATTATATTGTAAAAATTCAGCTGTCGAACGATGTTGCACCATTACTATGCGTTATTGATAATTGTCTTTTTTTTCCTTGCAAGCAATTCATTTCAATGTCTTATCGTTTGCTCAAAGATCTTAACCAATCACACGATGATTGGATAATTGTTGCCAGAGCAATAAGATGTTGGGAATGTCTAATGATGTGTTTAGCCTTGATATGGTTTTAATGGATGAACAGGTGCAAAATATAAATAGTTATATTAGTTAAAAGTTTTATTATTTATAAATTACACATATTTGTTAACACTTTTCATTTCCATTTATTTCACAGAGCAATGTGATGCATGGAACTATACCAAAAATAGGGTTCCTAAGTTTAGAAGCCAAATTCATGAAGGTTGTATATATCTCATAAAAAATGTAAGGGTTATAGGATGTGCGACTTCTTACAAACTTGTGGAGGACACATATCGTATACAATTTCTGATGACCACATCTTTGAAGGAGATCAAGTAACCAAGAATACCCATTCCAAAGTTGTATTTTAAATTTTCTAGTATTCATGATCTTGAAAATAGATCACATGATACTACTTTGTTGTCAGGTATATTTAGTTTTACTTATAGATACTTTAAGTTTATGAAAAAAGAAGTTATATATTATATTTAACATAAAAAATGATATGCAGATGTGATTGGTATTCTGAATGGAATTGGAGAAACTCAAGTATCAACAAAGAGTAATAAAAGAGACATTACATTGTAGATTGAATAGTAATTTTTTTTTTCCAATATTGGTACATCTTGTTATCAATTGATATAATTAACATCGTTATTGATTTTAGAGAAACAATTACTATATCTTTGTGCAGAAAAATCTATGCGGAAAAATCTGTGATGAAATAAATGAAGTTGTGCAAATGGAAAATGACAAGGCTATTGTTATGATTGTTACATCAAAAAATGTAAAGGAGTTTCAAGGTAATTTAAACATATTATAGAAAATTAATATATTGTGAATAATTAATTTTTTTTTTTTTGTGTAACATGCAGGGTGATTATTTCTGAATACAACTTCGGCATCAAGAATTTATGTAAATCTCGATATTGAGGAGGTGTATTCCCTTCAAGAAATGTAAGATATCAAGCAATTGTATATTATAATATTAAATGTTGTATAACATTGATATCTTATATATTGTTATTATTATAGAAACCAAAACATGCTAGTTGTTCAATTGCAAAAGAGAATTTTCAATGGAATACCGGTAGAAAAGAGATGTTTCAGAATAGAGTAACATTGAAGCATATTACCGATCTGGTGTGGTTCAACAATGATGATCCGGTACAATATTTACTATGTAATTAAATTGATTATTACAACTTTATTTTTTATATAAGAAATTCATCTGAATAGGTAATTACACCTTTATTTTTTATATAAAAAATTCATTTGAATAGGTCACTGATTTTACAATAAAGGCTACGCTAAGTGAAGTTGATTCTAGATTTGGTTGGTGCTATTCGT